ACAGCCAGCTCCCTGCACCTTCCATGGCCCCGGGGCCCTTTGTTCCTCTCGGATCAGGATACCCACAGGGAGGCCCCGGCGCCCCTGCTGTCAAGTCCTTTTCGCAGCCTGCTGTCGGTCCTCCTCCTACAGGTACCGTTATCCTAGGGCGTCTTTACTCATCACCGGTGTGCTTTTGACAAACAATAACAGCTTTTTACAGAAATGTTTCTAATGTCATCATCTCGGATTCTGCTGTGATTCCTTATTTGACTTGCAGGATATTTTCCCTGGCTGAATCCTGACCTTACAGGTGACAATGTTAGGGATATGGATACAAAATCAAATGTGTATTTAAACATGGAGTGAGTGGCCATTTTAACTTCTTGGTACACCTCAACCAAAACAATTTGAAACAAATGTGAGTGACGTGACTCTGGTCATATCATGTCTTACAGTGTTTGAGGTCCGACATCATAGTGCAACATTACTGCATTTCTTTTAATTGGTCACTCACTGTGTGTTCACTGGTGTTGGCGTGTGTTGCTATTGTTTCTAGAAAATGTCATGATTAACATTTGACAGACGGCAGACGTGTGACAATAACAGTGCCGTTCATACTCGTAATGTGCTGTACTGCTCTGTACACTCTGTACCAGTGACTGAATGGGTGCAAATGGGCTTCTGATGGTGGTGATGTGTGACCACAGCAGCAAGGAAAACAACTGCATTCGCAGATGTATTATGTGATACACAGTGTGCTGACCTACATTAGATCAGATACATGTGGCTGTTCATGGTCGTTGCTTGAGACTGAGAATATGAAACTGATTCTTGCATCAGTTGCTAAAATAAATGTGAAATGTCACTTTTCTCGCTCAAACCGCTCTGCCTTCTTGACTGAACTGAGCTGGTAGAGATTGTTCCAGGTGCACAGTCTTTGCTTGCTTGAGTTTGGTCCTGTGGAAAAAGGCCATTGTTTGTCTTTATTAATTGTTTTTTTGTTTTTTTTCTTCATCGGTTGTGTGCCTCAGGACCTCAGGAGGGCTGGAATGACCCACCGGCAGTCAAAGGTGGTCCCAGGAAGAAGAAGGTAGATCAATACAAAAATAAAACAAACAAACCAAAGTAATTCCTTTGATTTGATTCCTTTGTAATCATTGTACAGTCAGAAAAGGCCTTTATAATACACATTTAAAAATACATGTTTGTGGTGAAACCTCTGGTTCACATGGTTTGCAGATCCCTGATAACTACACTCCACCGGTGCCCATCACAGCTCCTGTGATGAGATTCCCCATGGACACCCCTCAGCCCCACGACCCCACTCAGGTCCCTCCTGGAGCCCCAAAGGAGCCTAGTGTGCAGGTACGTTTGGAACAAGTGGCTGCCCTCCCCTCTTCTTCGCCCCACCCAGCAAACACCTTGTAATTGTCTCTTTGTTGTGCTTAGCTTCTCCAGCAGCTGCC